GGGCCAGGGCGTGTAGGAGCTCTTTGGCCAAGAAGGAAGCTATGACGTATGACAAAGTCTTAAAGCAGTGTCGAAAGTACGTGAGTCTGGAGGAAACGGAGGCTGAATTTTCGATGCTTAAGCAAATGTCTCAACAAGTAGAAAGCAAGAAGGAAAGAGCTAGTTCATCTAGGAGGGAAAAGCCAAGTGGAAGGAAAGAGGATAGGAGAGAGGACATGTGGCAGGATCTGCCACTGAAGCATGGCCAGAGATATGGGAAATACACCCTACTAAAGACCCATATGACAGAGGTCCTTTAGGCGATCGAGCATATGATCGATGGTCGAGAAGTTACGTGGTCGAAATATAGTAGGGATGGGCCAACACAACCAAAGTCTAGTCAATATTATGGATTCCATAAGGACTATGGTCACACATAAAATAACTGCTGACAAGGAGTTTGTATACCAAGATAGAAAAGGAGGAAGGAAAAAAAGAGATGTCGAGAAGGCACGATGGAGAGAGATGATTAGGATGAGGATGAGGATGAGGATAGTGAGGACCATGAAGGTCGTTTCCCACGTAAGTATGGCGGCCAAAAGGGCAGTGAGAGAGGAGGTCGAAATCTTAGGGAGGAAGAAGCCTCGCTTAGAAGAGAGTTATCCACATGATCTCGGGAGGTCCCAGTGATGGGGACTCCAACAATGCAAGAAAGGAGCACACCCGGGTAGCGGGAGAAATAAAGAGGAAGTTAGCGTAACAACTCGAACACCCATGATTACCTTTTGACCTAAAGACGCCAAGGTCTGCATGTACCCAACAACGATGTGCGCCGGTGATCACAGCGGAAGTTGCAAGGTATGATGTAAAGAGGATTTTCATATATATAGGGAGCTCGGTGGATGCAATGTTCTTTGATTGTTTCAAGTAACTAGACTTGGGACTCGAGCTGAAAGAAGTGGTTACCTCTTTGTATGGTTTTAATGGAAGCGAGGTCGAACCTATAAATAGAGGTGCTCTGCCGATGGTCTTAGGAGAAGGCTCAACTAGGAAAGTGAAAATGGTAATATTTGTGGTGGTGGACGCAGAATCGTCATATAATATCGTCTTAGGAAGGACGGTCTTGAATGCATTTTAGGCCATGGTACCGACATACCACATGACGATAAAATACCTTGTGGGCGAAAGGGTCAGGAAGGTCATAGGAGGCCAAATATGGACATGTTACCAAACCACAGTAGAGGTAAACAAGAAGAACGTGAAAAGGTTAAACGAGGTAAAGGAAGAAGATACATGTAAGCCGAGCAGCTCACGATCTAAGGAGGAAAGGCCAAAGGTTGATAAGGGGAAAAAGAAGATGGATATCCAACCAGGGGAGGATGTCGAGGAGATACATGATAAGATCGAGGGCAACGACAAGAGAAAATTCAGGAGGCGAAGTTGGGGAACCCCCTAAAGGCAAGATTGATCAGATTGGTCAGAGAATTCGATGACATTTTTGCTTATACCCTGGAGGTGCTCACAATGATTGAGGCCAGCGTCATCGAGCACAAACTCAACATTGACCTAAGTGTGAGGCCGGTGAGGCAGAAGATGAGGCATAAAAACACCGAGATGGATAGAGTAATAGCTCATGAGGTCGAGAAGCTCTTGAAAGCGGGTCATATTATTGAAATACAATTCCCAGAATGGCTGTCGAACACAATGATGGCGTCCAAATCCGAAGGGAATGAAGAATGTGCATCGACTTTGAAGACCTCAACAAGGCTTGTCTTAAGGACCATTACCCGTTGCCCCGAATCGACCAATTGGTCGACTTGACGGGAGGATTCGAGCTACTAAGCTTAATGGATTTGTCTTAGGGCTACCATAAAATTCCTCTAGCTCGAGAGGATAGGAAGAGGGTGGACTTTGTGAGTTGTGACAAGTCGAAGAACTTACTACTACGCAGTGATGCCATTTGGACTGAAGAATGCAGGAACAACATATCAAAGGTTAATGGATAAGATCTTCAAAGAACAACTAGGTTGAAATATGGAGGTCTATGTTGATAACATGCTAGGTACTACTTTTAAAACACTATTTACCAGTAAGACTACTTCTATTTTTGTTCCCCATAAGTTATAAACTGAGTCAAACCACTCAGTCATCGGAAAAGTTGTTGGAATATCAGTTGTGAGTCGTTCCACATTGACTTGATAGGGTAAATGAGCTTAGTTTATATGCTCAGTGGTCTACTACTCTCATCAACAATTGATTTTGGAATGAAACCTCACTAGTTAAGGTGTACATAGACTCACCCTCTTATGGTGCGCTTCATTGTGTGGAACCTGGATTCCCCGATTATAAAAAATTTGACAAAACTTGGTCAAAACCAACATATCTATTATATATCCAAGAAAATTATTGTCATCACATTTTCTGACCATACATGAATATATCAAACTATAACCAACAGTTTCATGCATGGTATATATGAATGAATATGATCACATGCATGTTGTCAAATAATATATGCGAAAAATAATGTAGAGAAAATGTATGTTACACGCAAATGCACACTCATTTACACAAATAAATAAATTTTTAGTTGACTCATTTTTAATGTTGCCAGCATAAATGAGGCCCTTGTTATGAGTTTATGAAAGGGGCAGAACACACAACACAAAAACGCAGGCTGGCTTTTTTAGGTGACAAATATATTAATTGATTTGCTCATATGAGGTGAAGAGAAAAAATTGATATATTATATAGTAAAAAGCAAGAATTATGTGGCATGCATTAATTTCTTCACCAGTTCATTTCCACCAATAAATGCCATTTTTACCAGTTGGGATTTATATGACCTTAAAGATATATCAGTTTGGAATAAAGAAAAATAAATAGGAAAAAAAAAAAATCATCAACCTTCTCTAAAAGACTAAAACTATATATATAGTGTTTAACATATATATCACAAACTAGAAAACTTAAAAAATAACTATAAAATTAATCTTAGAGCTCATTTGCTCAATATTAGATCGAAGACCTAGCCATTAAATTATCACGGAAAAAAAAAAAAAAGAATACATTTCTAAGATGCACGTCTTCATAATAGTAATCAAACGGTTATTGCAGATCGTTGATCGATCGAATTGCAAAATCCCTGGCAATTAAATAATGAAGTTTTTGCATGCGGATTATCGATCCACATAAACTTTGTTGTCTAACTTTTGTCGATTCGAAAGCTTTAACCAAAATCGTCGATATATACGGTCGGATTCTTCAAACAATTACGCTTTCTAAAAATGTTTGTTAAGATCCAACGAGACCATGTTTGGTAAAATTAGTTGATAGCTAATAAGCTAGCTTATAACTTATCTGTGATTTTCGAGCTTATAGCTAGGACTTATAGCCAGAGACGGATTTGTATTGGGCCCAGGGGGGCCCGTGGGCCCCCCTGAATTTTTTTTTTAAACCTATATATATACATATATATAATATATATTCATATAAAGAAAATATTAAAAATATGTATAAAAATCTACAAAGTATTTAAGATATATTAATAATTATTTTTTGTGCTATTTTAATTTAAATTAAAAAAAATATTTATTTTAAAAATGTTCTAACAATGTTATATTTTACATTTTTAGATTATTTTTTGAAAATATTTATAATGATTTACTCTTTGATCTCTTAATTTTGAATCGAGTTAGTGATTTATAAGACCTAGTATTAAATACTGTTACATTTTTTAATGTTGGTTTTTTACTTTTTTTTTTGTGTGTAGTCACATATTTTTAAATTCATTTATTTTTTTTTCTTAAAAAATGTTCATTTGATAAGCTCTCATTAACAAAAATTCTATGAAATTTACTGCAAAAGTTTTTGTTTATTTTTTTTTTCTTCTTAAAAATCGTTCATTTGATGAACACAATGTACTGCAAATGTTTTTTTATTTTTTTTCTTAAATTATAAGTACATAAAATCACACTTTTTTTTGTTTATTTTTTTTAAAAGTTTTAGGGTCAGATTTTTTAAATAGATGGTACCCATATCGATAATTATATTTATAGTAAATATTTTTTCATATAAAATAAGCGTGTCGCCTTAAACTACAAGCTCGTTATAATATTTAAAATCGGGCCCCCCTGAGCGAAATTCCTAGATCCGTCACTGCTTATAGCTGAAAAACTAGCATATATGTTAAAAGTGTTTAGTAAAATTAGCCGATAAACTTGCTGAAATAAAAATTTCAACGAGCTTATTTGAAAAGCTATTCAAAGAAGCTTATGAGATAAGTTCGAGGTTTTTTTTTTTTTTTTTTGTTTTTAAGTTTGTCCTACCAAACGAAACTTATTTAAATACAGGAAGCTTATAAGCTATCCAAATAAGCTCTGTAAGTTTAACCAACATAGCCAAAATCTTTGACTGATATATTGTCATTCAACTAAAACACAAAATATTACTAATACATAACATAGGCATGATATATTGTCATTCAACTAAAACACAAAATATTACTAATACATAACATAGGCAAATAATATGGAAATTAATAAAAAAATTAATTTAATGGGATGAAAATGCTATAATAAAAAGAAATACCTCATAGTTGCCCAATTGGCAATTAACCTACTTGTTAGTTGTTACAGTTGTTTGTACCATATAACACTTAACCCCATCTAATAATTAATGCACCTCAACATATCAGATCACCATATATATTTTATTTTTTCAAATTTCCTCCAATATTTTCAAATTTCCCACGTGGAGTTGTCCTATTGGTTGTTGGTGCTTCGTAACGGAGCCAACAGTTGGCTCTTTAGCATTACTGATGTACGATATATATGCAAGTGTGCTTTTTATGTGTGTGTGGGTGTGCAGAAGATAGTAGTTGTAAGTCATTTATATGCTTCGTCAAATAGTTCTTACAAAGAAAGAGGCCAACCACAGAAAGTCACATCAGTTATAATAAAGGACAGAGAGAGATAAGTGTGTGTAGTGAGTGTTTTTTTCTTGATTAATTTTCTCTCTAAATGGCTCGGCTGGTTATTGGTTATGGCGGCTCAGCTGCTGCAGCTTTCGGCTATCTGTATGCATTTGTATGGATCACCATTCATCTCCTCGCTGCCTCTCAAGGTTTTAATTACCTCACAATCTCTTCCCACATTTTTTTTATTTAATATTGTTATTTTTTTTGTTTGTTTGTTTTTTTTTTTTTTTAAATTATTCTCTGCATTTTAATAAAACTGGTTTTAAGTCATTATTATTATTATTACCATTACTATTACTAGTAAGTCTGTAAACGAACCGAACTCGAGCTCGAGCTCGAGCTCGAGCGCTTAACAAGCAGAGCCGAGCTCGGCTCATAAATAAACGAGACTGAAATTGAGCTCGAGTACGACTCGTTTATCACTAATAACGAGTCGAGTTCGAGCCTTAACGAGCCGAACTACAAGAAATTATATAAAAATTTTATTTTCGATAGCATTAATCAACCTAATTGAGTTGAGCCGAGCTCAACTCGTTAACCAAATGAGATTTAAATGAGCTCGAACTCGGCTCGTTTATCAAACATGCAGAGCTGAACTTGTGCCTTTAACGAGTTGAACTCAGTTTAATTTAATAGCATTAACTAAAAAAAAAAAGAAGCTATGTTGAGAGTACTTTGTGTGTTTTCTGCATTACACATGTTTAACCTTTTCTGATTATTTTTTGCATTATATATATACTAATACAATACCTGTGTACAACACGGGCGTTGAATTAGAAATATATGATAAAAGTGATTTATGTCTGATACCAAACTTAATTCCAAAGAAAAATAATATAAAAACATCACGAAACATAGATTTTCGCCATATCAGCATCCAAAGCGTGAGAATCTGTCATTTATGCTCCACACGTTTTGAAATAAAATATAAGGAGGTATATTTTTTTTTTTTAAATTCATGTGTATAATGTAATGTTTAACTTCTTCAATCAAAACTGAGTTTCCTTTAGTAGTAATAACGAATGTTATATATTTGGTTCTCATGATATTCTCGTAAATACATCATTTGTTTGTTAATAACAGTGGATTAGATATGTCCACAGGCCCAATCGACCCGTGAACCGGTTCCGACCCGGCCATGAAACGGCCTCCTAAAGGTCGCAGTTCAGTCTCAGTTCATAATCTTTTTTATTTTGACCCCTCAGTTCGGGCCAGGCCGATTCGTGCCGCGAGTCGAACAACGGGCCACAATATTATTTTTTTCTTTTTAAGGGCCCTACCGGCCTGTGAACCGTCCCGTGACCTGCCAGATCAATGAACCGACGGAACCTGCCCAAAGTTTATTTTGGGCCGGTCACGTGCCATGATATTTAGGCCCTCTGCGGGCCGGCCGGGCCGGACCGGGGCCCTTCATTAGGCCACCTCTATAGTGGATAGTTCACTTCATGAGGCATTTTCTTAGTTCATAATAAGTTGTGCAAAACCGTACAATTACTTTCTTATTGCACCTGTTTTTCAATTAAGCTAAACCACCGGGGTGATTTCCGCAATTATCTAAAAAAAAAAGCCATGGAATCGCAGGCGCGCCGGACGAATCATCATCCCACCGGGCCGAATACCGCTACCCGTTCGTCGGGCCCGCCAGCTCGTTCTCGCCCCCGTCGTCCTCCTCCGCCGCATCCCCCGGCGAAGAATCGGCCTACGACTACATAATAGTGGGCGGGGGGACGGCGGGGTGCCCCCTCGCGGCCACGCTGTCGAGGAACTACACCGTCCTGGTGCTGGAGAGAGGCGGGGCCCCGTTCGCGAACCCGAACGTGACGTTCATGGAGAACTTCCACATCTCGCTGGCCGACATCTCGCCGACGTCGGCGTCGCAGATGTTCATCTCCACCGACGGCGTCTTCAATTCGAGGGCTAGGGTTCTCGGCGGCGGGACCTGCATCAATGCCGGGTTTTACACCCGGGCAAGCGCGAGGTACAACACTCCCAATGCTATTATGTTTCGATTGTCTTTAGGGATAATGACAAAATCTACCTCGATGTTTAGCCTAATTACAAACTGTTGGTGATTATAAAATCACATTATTATCACACAGCCCTCGTAGGATTTGTTGCATTTGTTATGATTCTTATAATTTATGCCAGAAAGTGATATATCTCCTTCTTTTGTCATAGCTGTAGATAAATTCTTGATTTTTCCTTTTCTGTTGGCCCCGTAGAGCTTGTTAACCCAAAACATTTATCAAAATGAATAATTTAGCTTAAAAACTCTAATGATTTATTTGTAGTTTCATCAAGAAAGTCGGCTGGGATGCCAAGCTTGTGAATGAATCATACCCGTGGATCGAAAAGCAAATCGTGTTTCAACCACAGCCCTCGCTATGGCAAAAGGCCGTGAGGGATGGCCTGTTGGAAGCCGGGGTTTCGCCTTTCAATGGGTTCACTTACGATCACAAGTATGGCACTAAAGTCGGAGGCACCATTTTCGACAGATTCGGCCGCCGCCACACGGCTGCCGAGCTTCTTGCCTCTGCCAATCCCGAGAAAATCGATGTCTTGGTGCATGCTACTGTTCAGAAAATCGAGTTTGACACCACGGGTATGTTTACCGAGCAAGTCTTTTGTTTTCTAACTTGAGTTATTGTAATTTTTAGCCATGTGACAAGAAGAGAGTTGGACAAAGTTTGTCCATTTTTCAATCCGTATTGTCAAAATCACAATATTTATTTTAAGAAACAATATATATTCTAAAATACAGTCCTCAATCCAACAAAAATAAAAAAAATCCGATTTTCTTGGAGCTAAAAATAGGATTTGTCCAAGCATTTTACTAGCTAAAGCATCAATAAACCTCTATTTACGCACATGTGATTCTGTGGTTGTTTTTTCATTTGTTATAAATGCACATTGTCCTCCAGACTTTTGTGATCTTCGAAATCAACTTTGAAAATGAACATGTTTTTCTGTCTAAACTATGTGATTCATTGCACTTATTCTCGTGAAAGATGAACGCGCCAATTTATGACGGGTCCAAGTATGATTCCAGAGGGGTTGAGTGCAAAACGTGCAAAGCTGAGCTCCAATTTTAGTAGAAGTGTAGTTCAGCCTCGCAAATACGATCATCTTTTTTGACTTCTCCATATATGCTCGACCAAACCAACAAAGTTCTAACAAATGCAGAATAATTGATTTTGGCCGAGCTGACATTGGAAAATATTATCACGCCCTAACTGAAGTTGCAATACCACACGACTTTTATCATATGATCCGAAAATGATATGTCAACAGTTCTTTTTGTAACTTTTTACTGTTGCAATGACAGGGGAAAGACCCAAAGCAACTGGTGTCATATTCAAGGATGAAAAGGGGATTATACACAGGGCAACTCTCTCAAAGGGGCCCAAAAGCGAGATTATTGTCTCGAGTGGCGCCATAGGGAGCCCGCAACTACTCCTGCTGAGTGGGATAGGCCCAAAAGCCGAGCTCGAGAAGCTCAACATCTCTGTGGTTCTTGATAATGAGTTTGTTGGGAAGGATGTGGCTGACAACCCTCTGAACACAATTTATGTGCCCACCAATGGGCCCGTCAAGCAGTCGCTTATAGCCACTGTGGGGATCACTAAGAAGGGTGTCTATATTGAGGCGAGCAGTGGGTTTGGGCAGTCTTCGGATAGTATTCGTTGGGATCATGGTATTGCTTCAGCTGAGGTAATAAAATATGGTTATTATGTTCGGTTTTGTTTGACACTATAGTTGAATTTCTGATTGAGTCCCTGTGGTCATTATGTTGAACAAATATATACCCAGTATTTTTTTTTGCAAACAAATTCTTGAGATGGGCTTTTTCTATCACTAAATTCGCCTGGAATTTTGAAAAATTTCAGCAGTTTTCTGGTGATTTTTTAAAAGCGATGTGAAATAAATAAATAAATAAATAAATGAAGATTTTCGGAGCTCAACCGCAGAATAGTTTATGGAGAAACAATGGATGCTTTTCACAACATATGATATGGCCAAACAACTACATCGATAGAAAATTGTAGTTATTTTATTTGGATTTTGTCAATGTTTTTGCTTTAACTGTTGACATGAAAAATATGCAAGTTGTGTGATGTAATAAATCAGAATCTGACATACTAACCAAATTTTATTAACTGAACAATGTTAAAACATTCAGTGAGACAGGACTTAGAGTAATTAGGACACATAATGTTTATCCCTACCACTAGAAAAAAAAAAAAAAAAAAAATGGAAAGCTATATAGGAACATTTACAAAAACATCTGATGTTTGTGTACTTATGAGAGTAACCATTATTGGACTAGAATTGCAAAATTAGCCCCTGAACTTTGCTTTTGATTGTACTTATGCCACAGATAGGCCAGCTGTCAACCATCCCTCCGAAGCAGAGAACTCACGAGGCCATCCATCATTTCCGGCGGTCCAAACGCAGCCTTCCCCATGAGGCCTTCTTCGGCGGCTTCATCCTCGAGAAAGTCGCGATGCCTCTCTCCAAGGGACAAATTAGCCTCCACAACACAAACATTGACGACAACCCACGCATCACGTTCAACTACTTCTCCCACCCTGCTGACGTGGCACGTTGTGTGGACGGCATCCGCATCATCGAGAGAATCGTGCGGTCCAAACACTTTGCTAACCTCACGACCATCGATCGGGAGACGAACGAGAGGCTTCTCAACATGAGCGTGCGTGCGAATGTGAACCTCTTGCCCAAGCACACAAACGACACCCGGTCCTTGGAACAGTTTTGCAAGGACACGGTTATCACCATCTGGCACTACCATGGGGGGTGCCACGTGGGCAGGGTGGTGGGCCCGGATTATAGGGTCTTTGGTGTCGGGAGCCTGCGGGTCGTGGATGGATCCACATTTTACGACTCGCCAGGGACCAATCCGCAGGCCACGGTCATGATGATGGGCAGGTAAGATTTTTTGAAATAACTCCTTCAGGTTTTGGTGTGTTTACCAAAATTGCAGTAATACTTTTGAAATCCGAAAATGCAGGTATATGGGGGTGAAGATATTGAGGGAGAGACTAGGCAAAGCAGCTGGGGTGTAAGAGGAATAATGACAAGCACCAGAGGCTGGCAGCACATCAGTATATCTATTTTCATTTTAATTCTCACTATTGTATTTTTTTCATTTATTTTTTTTCTACTTTCGTTTTTTTTTTTTTTT